CATTTCTAGTTCCACCATGTACAAAGCATTCCTTTTTTTGGGATACAGACCCCCTCTCAATGTTATTAAAGGAGATACATTTGACTTATGCCATGGTCTTTTCTTATAACATCATTGAAAATATGACCTTCTCATTTTCAGTAAAGAGTTACTTAAAACGGTAGCTTCTTTACATTTTCTATCAGGAAAAAATCACATGCCAAAACTCAGGCAAACATATTCTGCTGTATTAAAATATAGGATACACATACATCATAGCAGTTTACACATCCCTTCTTCAAATGATCATGTATGCTTTGATCTGTTTGAATTATTTACTATAATAATTTCTGAATTGTGTAACATAGATTATCAGAGATAGCTTCTTTTAATATGCCTTTCTTTGCAGAGGATGATGGTCCAAAGTGGGTATCATTTTCAAAGCTGAAATTTTTTAAGCTTCTCAAAATATTTTCAAAGTGTTATCAGTAACTGTATTATGTCCTTATATAGCACATGAGCAAAAGCAATTTGGCTAGTTTTTTTTTTTTTTTTTTTAAATAAAAGAGCTAAACATTACAAAATTAAGTTAACTGGGTGCTTCATCAGCAGTGACAAAATAATTCAAAGAAAACGTACTTCAATTTGAAAAAAATGCAGAATTTTCCAGATGGCTCCATACCAATACATAACTACCACTAGCTATAACAGCCATATCTAACTCAGCAATTTATATTGAGGCCTGTATCCGTTATACTGATATGCTTGAAAACAAAAGTAATGATATATCATTAACTTTTCCTTTGGCCACAGCTAACAGTACTGATATTTAAAAAAGGTTCTGAAGAGAAGATAATAAATTACTCTTTTTCAGAACTACCAAACGATTAAATAATTCTACCACGAATATATATATAATATATACATTTAATTTATCCTTAAAAGGTTCTTATATTCAAGGGAATCTTCTTTTCAAGTAAAAATTGTATGTAAGAAACAATTATTACCTTCTATCTCAAAAAGAAAAACTATTGCTCTTTCTAATTGAAAGCAGAAAAGTCACATTTCCTATCAGCTATAAGAAGTGAGATATGGATATCAGCTTAAATTAGCCAAAAACAATTATTTATAGGCTACTGGAATGCATAAAATGTTTTCTAAAGCATAAGAAAATCCATTTTTTTTTAAGTTCATACAAGTAGTTTTAAAAATATGAATTTTTAAAGTGTATGCAAGTTTCATAGACTAAAAAGCAAGGGAATTAATAGATGAATCTGACGACTCCCCATATGATCCTAATTCCAACACTGTAAAATTGTAATATCGGGTTGTCCAGAAAATAATGCAGGTTTTTGCAATTGTTTATCTTTCCTGTACATTTTTAGCAACAAATATATGTTGAATTATATTGATTTATATATTATTTTGAAGCTCTATTTTTGCTCTATATTTCTATAATGATCATTTTGTTCCAAAATTATTTTCAAAAATATTTATTAGGTACTTTTGTTTACAAGTCAAAACGGCATTTTCAGCAAATTTACTTTTATGAGTACAAGCTAGGCTACAGCGCAGCACAAACGGCTCGAAATATCAACAAATTATGGGGCGAGAAAAGTGTTAATGAATCTACAGTTCAACGGCGGTATCAAAAATTTCATCATGGAGAATTTGACCTGGAAGATCAACAGCGTCCACGACGCTCTTCAGCTGTTGATGGCGACGATTTGAAGACTTTAGTTGAAACAGACCAGTGCACAGCTGTTCGAGAGCTTGCGGAGGAACTTGGGTGTAAGCAAAACAACGATTTCTGATCATTTAAATCGTACAAGAAAGTCAAAGAAGCTCAACAAGTGGGTGCCTCATGAATTGAGTGGAAAAAAAAAAATCACCATTTTGAAGTGTTGTCTGCTCTTTTTCTCCGCAACAAAAATTACCCTTTTCTTGATCGAATTGTTACGTGCGATGAAAAGTGGATTCTCTATAACAACCGGCAACATTCAGCTCAGTGATTAAACCACGGTCAGACACCACAACACTTTCCTAAACCAAATTTGCACCAAAAGAAAATTATGTTGACTGTTTGATGGTCTGCGGCCGGTCTCATCCATCACAGCTTCCTAAATCTGGGCTAAACGATTACAACAGATAAATACTGTTGGCAAATAGACAAAATGCACCAAAAACTGCAACGCATGTGCCCGGCATTGGTCAACAGAAAGGGGCCAGTTCTTCGCCACGACAATGCTCGGCTGCACGTCGTGCAACTGACCCTACAGAAATTGAACGATTGGTTTGGTTTATTTAAGTATGGCATAGCACACTAGGGCTATCTGCCTAAGGAAAGGGATGTCTTCGTAGAAGACCTTCTAAGGAAAACTGGCTCATACACATGTTACACATGGGGGAAAACCATGAAAATGCCCATGCAGCCAGCCCATTCGCGGGATTTAAAGCTTGGACTGAACTACCAGTGTTCAACGACTTTACCGCTCGGCTGCAGGTGGGCCTCGAAGAAATTGAATGAATTGGGATACGAGACTCTCCCTCTTCCTCCAAATTCGCCTGACCTCTCGCTGACTGATTACCACTTTTTCAAACATCTGGATAACATTCTGCAGAAGAAATGCTTCAGAAACCAAGACGAGGCCAGAAATGCCTTTGATAACTTTATCGTGTCCAGAACTCCAGAATTTATTATTTTGATTAATAAAATTGTTTTTGAGTTGAGTTATGATATTTTAAAGATACAGGTTAAATTCCTGCATTATTTTCTGGACAACCTAATGCATAAGACAGACTAGATTCATCAAAACTCACAAAACATAATTCCAAGTACAGTTTGAATAAACTTTACTTATCTTACCATCTATGTCAACACAATCTGCAATTAGGTTACTTAGATTATTTGAATAAGAAAAGTTCATGGGGAGTATTTGCCTAGCGGAAGGGATGCCTTCATAGATACTGGTTTGTATCCCTGTTATGTATGAAGAAAACCATAAAAACCAACCATGTAGTAGCCTGTTCACTTGGGATCTAACCTGGATTGAATTCCCAGTATTCAGTAGCCTTAAACATTTGGCTACAAAGATGAAGCCAGAGACTGTATACTTGAAAACAGTTTATGTTACCTGAATACATACATGTATAGATAACCCAGCAACTAATCAATGATCACAATGAGAAAGCAGTTAATTGAAAATTAATTAAATCTACAATCAACTAGACATCTGATTATGGAGTATTTCAAACAAACAGACCACAGGTCAAAGCCTAAGATTATTTATACCAGTTCAGACACCAAAAATAACATTTTACTTTTTTCTCCCTGAGACTACAACATTAAAAATCATCAAAGCATGTCCTGCATCTAGGTGTACAAATAACTATACACCTGAAAAAAACAACTAATAATAAACATGTGTGTTTTCAAAAGTTTTTTTAGCATATTACTAGCAGTGTACTTTTAAAAATGAGGTCTAAAAATTAACTATAGCTTCTACTTGGAATTTCATTTAAGTTCCATGTCATTACAGAGTTCAGTTAACTGTTCTCTTTCATTAAAAAAAATTCTGTTATTTTCAAAATCACAATGGAAAGGATTAAGAACCGCTGAAAATTCAGCATGTTTACCACTTGGAAAATACATTTCAAACTGCGACTTAAGTTTTGAGATGTCACCATATGTCACTACACAGTTTTCCAACAACGAAAGATCCTACTAAAAAGATTCTAAGATTGGAAACGAAAATTCCTCTTTCTACACAGCTTAAACATAAATTAAGTCTCCTCTCACACTCCTTTAATTTTTTTTATGAGCATAGGTAATTTTTTATAGATGAAAGTTTAGTTCATTTAATTTTGACAATACATCTGAAAGATATGTCAGTGTATTTTAACCACATGGCAATAACATGAAATAATGCAAAATTCTGTTCATTCACAAATAGCAGGACCTTTTAGTAAATCTAGGAGGACCACAATTTGAGAAACACTATCATAGGGGACCAAATGGCAATTCAACAAAAAAAGTATTATTAAAAAAAAAAAAAAAAAAAAAAAAAAAAAAAAAAAAAAAAGGATCAACATGCAGTTTCCACATAACTACTACATATCAGATTCTGCAGTAGAATCTTCAATTTCTAATCAATAGATTCAATGCCCTTCAAAATGTCATCTTCACACTGCAAGGTTACTAGGTCAAAAATAATATCGCATTTACGAAAGGCTCTTCTTATAACAATTTGCTATAATAAACCAATACTTGCAATAGTAATTTAATACTTTTCAGAGAGAAGGGATTATTATAAGTATTTTTATTCATGTTTCCAGCATTCATAAGAAAAATATGTATATCAAACTTTAATTTGTAATAGTTTCGACTCTCCATTTTAATTTGGGTGTTTTCCATTTCCACCCTAAAAATAATGATCGCTTATAATAAAAAATCTTTGCAATGTGTCATTTTAAAATCGCTGTCATAAAATTCATACACTGTTAATTACTCAGGCACTGCAATGCTTAGGAACCAAAACTTTAATTTAGCCAATGGAGATAAAGTTCAACTGAAACAATCATGCTGATCCCAAGTTTTATCTTAGATATCTTAGATATCTCATATGTTGCATTTTCCCCTCACTTCTTTGCTGTCAACTCACTTGCCACCTACTGCAGCGTTTTCTTTCTTCAGATATTAAAAAATGTAAACATTAATAGAAGAAAAGAAGTACTTAATGTCAGTTTATTATGGATATCTATATGTCTTCAACATTCACATTATTTTATATTTATGTACACATACATATACACCCATGCACAGGCACTAAATGATTCAGAAAAATGATATTACTATTTTCACCTACTTTACTTTAAAATACCAAAATACATTTCATTCAGAAGATAAATTAAGTACAACAAGAGGAAAAAACATATATATACTTAACACTATTACATGGTACAATAAGTTTAAACAACATAAGAAAATTCTGCTCAAGTGAATAAAGAATTGCCAAATATACCTGCATTTCTTCAATAATATGCTGTAATGTCTGAAGCCAACCAACATCATGCCGAAATTCTTCAGAATTTAAAATATTTATTTCATTCTAAAAATAAATAAATAATCACCTCAGCCTTTTGCAATAATGTATGAACACAGTATTGTTCAAAAATACATGATAAACATTTTGAATTTGCAAATCCTGAGCTGCAGTAGGAAATTTCTATTTCTGTCAAATATATTTAACTAAAGAGCTACTATTTAAGACTCAGCTAACAACAACTATAAAATTAGCAAAGGAGCAAACTTATGTCTGGTGTAGTTTTCAGTTTTTGAGGGAATCAGGTATGGACAGGTCCCTCTTCATAAGAAGTACAGAAATCTGCAACAAAGGAAAAGCCACAGATGTATTTATACCCAAAAGGAGTAAAGCAAACAAGAAAGTAGACCTATCTGTCAGCAGAAATAACAACAAAAATTGAAAAATAAACTTTATAGAATTTTAAAAGCATTACAAAAGACTGGATTAATACAGAGACTGTTTGTACATTTTTTAGACGATATTTCTAGTATTCACAGAAATATTTTACCTAAAATTTTTGTGTTTTAAATGTTTTACTTGATAACCCTTATTCTTTACCATCTTTCTACATTGTAATTTTAAAAACAATACAGCCTTTAATAATGTCAGAAGAGGTATTTTATCCCATTCCTCTCTAACAGCTTTCCAAAGTCTAAGGAGAGGTGTAGGTCAACATTTCAATAATTTTCTTTTTATAAATCCAAAAGCGCAAAAATCCATGGGTGATAAATCAGAATATTTTGCAGTGATATGAGTGAAGGGTAGGGGCTTCATACCTGTTTCTTGTTACATTTTTTACAGGAAACTAACAGTGGATTTTGACATGTGGCTGCTTGTTTTGTCTTGATGCAGTTCTACTGATTGATTGCACTGTGGTTAAATATTTCTAGTCGTAATTTTAAAAATAATAGAGCCTTTCCATATTTCAGTATTCCATACATGAAAATTGGATATCAGATATGTTCCTAATGATAATTAACATTTACCTCTACTCTTTTTATTTTTAATTTGCTGTCACATGAAAAACCAGCAAACAATCATAAACCCCTTTGATATACTTTAAGATTTTTTTCTCTTCTTTAATAATAATAATGGGTCTCCTTTTATTGCAGTCATTTAAATACGCCCAATATTAATATATTACAGTCAAAAGTCATTTCTTTCAATGCGCGCATGCGTAAAGCATACATTACGCATAGTCGAAATTAGAAAATTGCAATCAGAAAACAATTTGATTTGTATTCGTGATATTTATAATGACGAGGAATTTGATTTAAATCATATCAAAGATGGAGTACATCGAGATGAAATACTACATTTAGTAAGGAATTATAAGCCGAATAAAATAAAAACATCTGCCCTGAAGATAAGGATAGTGTTGACAGATCAACTTCCAGTTCATTGCACGCCGCGACGCAATGACGCGAATATTTATTTGTTTACTTTAGCAAACATTTCTATCAATGTAAGTTGTTTAAGTTGCTTTGTTTTTTTGTGCTAATACTTTCTCTTTAATTCTATAAACAGACAATTTCTTGTTCAGTTACAAAGTTCCACTGTTCAAGTCCTGTAATTGCTGTGTCGAGAATACCGACTAACTTGTCAATCGAAATTTTTTTGTTTTCGATAACACTCTCTGTTACTTTCTTCACTATCGGATGCGCGCATGGGTAAACACTTTATTGGCTTTACGTGCATGCATTGCGGATGCGCACATGTGTAGGTTTGTGACTTTGAGGTCCGGATTATAGATCATTCCGGATAATGGACGTCCGGATTAGAGACTTTATACTGTATCACCTTTTTGGACATAAAAATCATATTCTCTGATGTGAATTTTAACGTGCTTTTAGTTTTGCCAATATATCTCAAACCATAGTGGTAACATATGCTAATAGCTCCATGCTCATTTCATTTTAACACTGTGCCCTCTCCTATGTGTTCTTTGTATGACAGGACAAGTGCCCCACACTATCTGCTTTTTTTGTCATGTGGCGAGATATTAAACAGCCTGTTGTTTAATGGCCTAGTGGCCAAGCAACAGGTATTTGGTAAATAAATAAAAAGATATGCTATAAATTCCCTAAGAATTATGATTAGAAATGGAATCTAAGAATTGGATCATGAATTTTATTGATAGGCCAGACTGATGACTTGAAATTTGAACTTCTGGATAATATGTATAATTTTGTAACTGAAGAATGATAAAATGGAAGCACGGCAAGTTTTTTAACCATTTGCGCTAAAAAGACGTGCAACGCACGTCGAGATGCTTTTGTCTCAAACCGCGAGGGACGTGAACACTACGTCGATAGGCATTTATCGCGAAAATGAAAATAATGTGGTGCACACGTCGCCTAACAACAAGAATGTTTGTTTCTCGAGTTACAGCTCTGGATTGCACTCGCAGACACGGAGCAGCATAAATGAGACACTTTACTGCTTGTTATATTGTAGCGCACGGCACCGCAACCCTTGAAGTTTAGTTATAGCGCAGGTGGTTAATGTTATTTTTAACAGTGGCATGTCTGCTGGCAAGATGAAAATTTTTTAAAAGCTTTATCACTAACCACAGGAGAAAAGCCTCGGTCAATGGCGAATGCTGCCAAATATGATGAACTTAATACGAATTAGTTGCCATAGATTGAGGATTTTCTCCTCTGGTCAATGATAAAGGCCTTTAATAAATTTTCATCCTGCTATCAAAGAAGATATTCTGAAAAAAAAAAAAAAAAAAAAAAAAATTAGAAATACAATTCTTGCCTTTATTTCATTCTTCTGTCAGTTACAAAATTGCATGGATTCTTCAGAAAATCAATTTTTAAGCCGTTTTCTCACTTATCAGTGAAATCCATGGATTGGAACTTGAAGTCCATTTCTAAGATCAATTCTTGGGAGATTTAGAGTGTATCTTGTCAGTGCAGTTTGAGATGTATCAGCCAAACTAAAATAGCATTAAAACTTTGTATCAAGGAACACAAATCTTATGTTCAAAAAGACAATATTAACAAGTTTCGATAGCTAATCATAATTGGAATTTTCCTGAAGCTTTTCACATAGATATATCTTGTTTAGTTAATGACAAATTCCAATCCGCTTTCCTAATGCTTTAAAAATTCTTATCAACTTAAATTTTTCAATTTTTGTTACTATTTCTGCTGATTGCTGGTGCTACCTTCTCGTTAGCTTTACTCCTTTTGGGTACAACCCTGGCTTTCTCTTTATTGCAGATTTCTCTACTGAGGGACCTGAACCTGTTTGCCCTCAAAATCAATAGATTCTTGACCAAAATCTAAACCGAAAACGAGGTTGTTGCTTTGCTAATTTTATGTTTTATTTTTCTGTTTTTCTCTTCTCTCATAAAGAAATCATTTATTAAACACTAAAAATTATCAAAAAGAAAAGTACAGTACAAAGTCATATATACAGCTGACTTTCCAATGTCATACTCCTCGCATAATTTTGAGACGGATATGCCTTTATCCCTTTTTTGAAGCAACTACACCTTTTGTTTGATTGACATCGTAACATGCTTTCGCTTTGTAGATCCTTTGGCAGCTCCAGAATTTGAAACTCTTATTGACATAATCGAAAGTTCAAGCTTATTTTTTATAAAATTGCTCTAACAGTCTGCAAAAAATAAGCCGGATCCAATTAGAAGATTAAGGAACAGCGCAATCTGCGACATTTACTGAAATGCCTTAGAAAAGATAATTTTAGCCTAGCTTATAGCATCCGTTATACATTACACGTGCATGCATAAATGCATATGCGCATGCATAAACATATAAATGCATTTACGCATGCGCATAAAGTTTGTAGCTTTGAGGTCCAGATTATAGATCATTCCGGATTATGGACGTCCGGATTAGAGACTTTGTACTGTATAACATATAATACATTTAGCAGTCACTTTGTTAACATAAAAAACTATGCTGAACATCCAATTAACTAATGTAAGAACTCTAGTAATTTTGAAAATCACTAATACAAGAAAACAATTTTCAGAGGATGAGTTTGTGTTTTCACAACTGCCATCTACTAATTCCTGCACATTTGCAGAGAAAGGAAAATACTTGGCAGATCGCCACATTCATGGCTATAGATAAAATACATTGGACAATTAAATACAAATATTTTTATAACTGACAAGACCTGGACTTAACTATTAAGTATCAATCTCATCTATGCAGACAAATTTATTCTGAAGTTCACACAGAATGATATTCAGGTTACAGTTTCTCATGCCATGGTATCTGCAAATTTTTATAATCATTTTACAGATGTTTTATAATCATTTTACAAATGTATGATCAATTGCTTCTACAAGAACACTGTACACTGCTTCCAGCAAGAAGTCTTTCAACTTCCTTCTATACATTATGAAACTAAGAAACAATTTTTTTAAAAAAGGGGGAGATAGAGAATACAAACCATTCAAGTATACTAAACTTATTACACTCTTTGGATTGCCCCAAAATTAATTAAACCATGATACAGACCATCACCCAAATGGAAAAGATCTCATATCTAAAGAGACACTGCTATGAATGTCAACATCCCATAAGCAACAATATTTAAAAAAGCTGCAACATTCAGGAAATGCCCTATTACAATCAACAAACTTAATATTCCTTCTGCAAATAATTCCTACACATGCCTGAGTTATTATTCCACAGAACTCATTCAATTCCTTTCATTTTTTTTTCACTAACCCAACACTTTTAAGCCTAAATAAAAGATTTAAGTTTGTATTTTAAAAATATCTGGTTGTAACAAAAGTGTTCCTTCAAAAAATTTTCTTAATAAAGTTAGGGGGGAAAAAACATGAAAGCAGTAGCTTTAGTGTGGGTAGTAACCACCACCCAAACCTATGATTTTCTGCCAATCTTTTGGTAGTTTTTCAAAGCCATCAGCTCAGAAACTTAGTGGCCACAAGTTGAAAAACAGATCAACCTCATTTTGGACGTCCTGTGCAAAATGGAAGATAGTACCAGCAAGATGTAGCTGTAGGTGTGAAAAAAGGCAGAAGTCTGAGGGGTGATGTCGAGGTTATATGGCGAGATTGGCAAAAGATCCTATTCGAGTCTGTACAGAGTTCAGCCGGTGAATGCACACACGTGGTCTTGCATTATCTTGATAGAACATTACCTTTTGGTACAGGAACTCAGTTAACCAGTTTTCCTTGATAGCAGCACCAACAAGGACTAATATCTTGCTGTACACCTTACTGCCAAGGGTTTTAACTTTTTCTAGGTACTCTAGATACTAGGATAATACCACAACAATCCCACTATATAAAAAGCATTATCTTTTTGTCAGTCAAATTGCATTTTCCGATGCTGTCAACTGGCTCATCGGGTATAAACCACTCCCCTTTCCGGCCTGAATTGTTGAAGTAAATACACTTTTCATCACAAGTGACGATATGGTCCAGAATTTTAGACTTGCGTTGAAATTTGAGCAAGTTAGTTCAGGCCTGAACTACTTCCTAAAGTTTTTGCAGGCAGGCCTCATCAGCATCAGAAGGCCGGCCAGACTGCTCTGCTTCTTGAATGTCACATTCCTTCTTTTCAAATTTTCAGTACCAAACCTTCACAGTGCCATATCATACAACATTAGTATCTAAAGCAGTGTTAAAGATTTGGTAACATTCTGTAGCTGACTTTTTATACCAGAAGTGGAAGTAAATGATGGTTCTAATCTGACAGTGTGATAGTTCCATTTCAAAAACCTTGTATTTAATGATAACGATATTTTTTGACACATTTCACAACACAGTATTCTACAGCAAGTCTCTTTCTTTAAAATGCCAAAAAATGGTTGACAAAATATGATTAAACATGGCAATGCGAACTGTTTGCACAGATGATATTTGTGGTGGTGGGAAACTTTCATTAAAACCCAATATTATAATCTGCACTCTGTAGTAGTCTCTTAGGACTATGATAAAGATAAATATAAGAAATTAACAGCCAAAACACTAGGTTGTAACATAAATAGATATTGATCATTAAATGCACTGATAGCACCATTTGTAAATAGCACATCCACAAACCAGTACAGGCACATTCAAAACATGTCAGATCACAGAGTGCTGGATTAAAAGTATATCCCTTATTATATCCTAGAATATCATGCTTAGGAATTTATAACAACTACTTAAATAACCTAGAATGTGGATGCTTTCATATTAAAATCCTAAAAACAATACATGAATGAAAGTATCTACATAAAATTTTCTTACAGATAGCTCATATATGATAGCACCTGTCCTCCAACCATGATGTAATGTCAGGTCAGCAAGATCAGAATATATTTGGTCCCCAAAATATAAAACAGAATTTCCATACCAACCAGTCAAACGCTGAAGTTCCTTCAAATTACCCTTAAAAAGAAAGCATAATGTTAAATTTATCATATGTGCTTACTTTCAGGATATAAATAATTAATAAAGTATACTCAAAGCTTACTTCCATATATACACAGCCTTTGTCAAGGGATACAACCCTTTCCCATAGCTGACTTTTGGTGTGTACATCGTAAATCCTAAAGGGCCTACAAACGAATTTTAATCAAATTAAGCTTAAAATATTTGTTTCAGAAACTAAGCAATTTTTTAAACTAAATTTACTACAGATACATTCCATATATACTAAACTTATTATACTAAACTAAACAGTATTCTGAAATTTTTGGAAGAAAAAAGAAGAATAACATACAAGATGTTGATATTTCAGAATAAATAATTTGTTATTAAAGATGGATATTGTTTGGTTTATTTAATTATGGCAAGGCCTCAAGGCCTATCTGCTTAAGGGGATGGATGCCTTCTTGGAGGACTTAAGCGAAACTTCTTGGAGGACTTAAGCGCATACATGTTGTAGTGGAACATAATTCAATGTTTTATATAATTGTTAAGATTTTCTAATTGGCAACATGACGTAATGTTTTTGCATAATTATCAAGATTCGCTGTGTGGCAGCAATGAGTTAAGTTAAAAAAAGTTGTTACTTGGAGTGTTCCATGGTAAGCATTGCATAAGCCTTATTTCTTAATAAGCTTGTTATATCATTTTTATATAAAAATATGTAATATATTGCAAACAAGTATGGAAGTTATATAAAAATAAATATGCTGTTTCTTTATAACAAAAATAAGCATTTATTTAAATTATGAAATGCTCTGGCTGTTTAGTTTTGATTTCATTTTTCCATCAATACCCACAATGTTACACATAGGAAAAACCATGAAAATGCCCATGCAGCCAGCCTATTTGTGGGATTCGAATCTGGGACCGAGCTACCAGTGTTGAACAACTCGCCCGCTGGTGGACCCTATAATAGATCAATATGTACTAACACATATTATAATTTCAGTAAGATTTCCATTAATTAAAATATACTCTCTTCAACCAGGCAGCTTCAAAACCTCATAGTTCACAAAAGTGCCATGAAAAAGAAGTTAATTTGTTAGTTATAATTCCTAAATGCTACTTTACACAAAGATTTTCTTCTACTATACAAACTGTTTGCACACAGTTCAAAATACACATATATTTATACAGAGAGGTCAGGGAAAATATCCTTGTATGTGTATATATGACTTTACTGGTTGAAAGGTTATAACTCATGACTTCTCCTTTATTTCTCACTTAAATTTTATTGAGAAATACAGATAATGCTACAAAAAAGAAAATACCTCCATGAAATACCTATCAAATTATTTCTTAAATAACTTATTATTGAATATATAACATGGATTATTATACAAACAAGAGAATTTTAATTAATGCATTTTTACAGGAATTACACGATATCCATTACATTTATTTTTTATCCATTACATTTAGTTCCACCTTTTTTATCAGTTATTATCTCCCAAATGAAAGCTGTAAAATTCCATTTAACATACATACATAACACCTTTTAGTTCTCTAAATGCATAACAGATGGCAGCATGGAAATAATGTAAAATAAAAATTCTTTAAAGGTCTAAGGAACAACAACTTTTGGTGTTAGAATGAATACTTTTATGTGAAAGTTTCCTTTTGTCCCACCATGCATGTAGGAATTGTTGCTACTAGATGGCAGCACCATTCAAATATTTTTAAATTCAAGTATCATGTTCATTTTATATGTTGATAATGCAAATTTATATTTTTTAATAAATTGTAATAATGTTAAACCTTGAAAAATATTTAGCATTTTTTCCGAAAGAAATGAAAATATAACTCTGTAACATGAAATGTTGAAATGTCACTGAATACTGAATGGATATGAGAGTGTGCTTCAACATAGAAAAATATCCTAAGCAAAGGAAAGAGGTAAAATGTAAATAAACATGACAGCTTTCTAAATATCTTCCTTTTCAAACCTGTAGCAAATAAAGTATTTGAGCAAAAATCTTCTCTGTTTCAAATCCATTATGGAATCATTAAAAAACATCTAAAAAGTCATATAGAGAGCGATTTTTTTTTTTTTTTATTGTGCATTTTTTTTTTTTTTGGAAAAATATTTTTTTATTTTGCGAATATGATCATTATTTTCTAGATAATTATTCAAGAACACTTTCTTATCTTGCATTTTCATTTGATTGCTAAAACTAGCACTTTAGATAAGCATGTTAGGAGAATTTATGCTTGGGCAAAGGTACCATTTTATTGCTCTAGATGCGTGGTGCGACAAGCGTTATCCCATCACATCATGAATTACCTTAACGGTCTACCTGTTTTTTTTTTTTTTTTTTTGTTTTGTTTTGCATGAAATAACATTGTATTAGGGGCTAATTATCTATGTGTAAAGTTATTTTTTCCAAAAAAAAATTTTATGCACCAAACCTCAACAGGTTAATACACAATTATGCATTTTAACATTAAAGCTGCAAAATGAATAATGTACACTTATTTCTAATAAGGGAAAAAATCCGATTTGGGCAGATTAATTCTGGTGTTGGTTGAATTTTATTAATACTGCATTAAGTATGCTTTTACTCTTTTTAATATACACCATCTAAACAGATACTGATTTTGTGCTATCTAACTTACCATCAAGTTAAATTTTTAAGATTCAGTCTATATTAATTTGAGATACTAAAAATCAGACTACGTTAAAAAAAATTTTTTTAAGCTTCTCTGAATTCCTTTAAGTGAAAAGCACAGTTACTAAACTTAAAACTCAAATATGCAGTTTGATAATTTTTAAAGTAAGACTATTCCTTTTCTAAAGACTACTCAATTATTTACAATAACTTAGAAAAAAATGTAATTGACCATTTCAGCTTATTTTTAACCTGTACTTAACATATCTGTCACTATGGGGTCTCCAGTGATTGACAACTAGTAATTTCAGTAGCACTATGGGGTTCATAGTAAACTGGCAAAGAAGACTGAGCTATCGTTCAGTCCTGCCAGACACACTGCATATTTCACTATATAAAGTAACCAACGTAGCACTTCTGCATATTGCTGTGATTTGAAAGAAAGATAATATATATGCTCATTTGTGGAAAAAATAACTCATATTTTGGGTACAAATGGTACAAACTCATGGGTGCAAATTTGACTTTACTGATAAGAAAACAGAAAACATCAAGATCATACATAATTAACGTAATTATGGAACAAGCAAACAAAAGGTAGATTAATAATGATGCACTTTATTAAAACATTAAAAATAATGTGGCTGAGAAGGACATTGAGGGCAAAATGTTGTTCTTTTTTGGTTTTACTTTAGGCATACTTTCTATCATGACTCATAACGTTATCTTTATAGCAACCACAGCACCATTTTTGCCATCTTTTTATTCCATTAGTACCCATTAAAAAAAAAAAAAAAAAAAAAAAAAAAAAGAAAGAAAGAAAGAAAACGAGGTTAAACTTTGTTAAAAACGCAACAAAATGATAAAATACTATTTATGTATATATATTCCCACAGAATAAGCCTGAAAATCAAAAGTCATTTTTCAACCATCGTAAATCCTAAAGTAATTTTCATATTGTAAATTTATATAAAATTCTAAGGTAATCAATGTGTTAATGTTAAAAATGAAATTTGCAGTTTTATACTGTTTACATTACCATGACTATAATAATTTAATTGAAGTTAAGATAGAAGAAAAAAAAAAACATACCGGCTTTGATCAGTGAAAAACTTTGGTTTCCTTGCTTGAACAACTATTACTTCGAAAAGATCAGCCCAGTTAGGACCTATCATGTACTTCATACCGTTATCACTGAAAGGAAATTAATACTTTCTTATTAAGACAATTACATTTTACAAAAACATTTTCTTCTTAATAGCTACCAGCTTTCACTGCAAAATATTCTGTACCAGAATGATACAAAAACTTAAGAAATTAAAAAATAGCAAGATTGAGATATTCCAAAAATCTTAAAATAGTATATGTAGAAAAGAAATGCTAAAAAAGGAAACCATTACAAGGATTTTAATTGAAATAGAAAATAAACAGATTAAAACCAAATGCATTTCATTAAAATACAAACCAATACAAATTGATTTCTTTCGATTTCAAATTTTAACAGTATACACACTCATGGGTCATTTCAAGTCCATGAATATAAAATTCATTTTTTAAACTTGATTTTTGTTATTTTACTTTGTAGAGTATCGTATTAATTAACCAGTTACTATTTTGGTCTTCTACATACTTCTCCTTTCTGTATTCCTCACCAGAATGCAAATAGTTGTCTGTGCATTTTAAATGGGTTTATGGATCTTGACAGAAAGAAAAGATAGTTTCAGCCTAAACAATACACAATCTACTAACTCTAGCAGCTTTAAAAATATCATCTCATTTATCTCAGTTTTGCATTCTCTCGCTACCACTACATTAATCTGATGTACTGAACCAGCTTTTAGCTTAGCATTTAATTGCATAGTCTTTAACTACTGATCAAGATTTAATTTTAACTGACTATTCTTATTATTAACATCAACATGAGCCGTGGTTATTAAAACATAAAAATGTGCCACTGTTTAAATAAAAAGTTTATTTTATAACTTCTCTTTCTATTTCAGACACAGCAATAACTCACTATATGTCTAGAGAACTAATGTAGCAGCACTAGATCAAAAATAACCTTACAACTTTTTAAAAATAAATGCAATTTTACAGAATAAAACAAGTCCTTAGTGCACTTAGCTGCCCTTTTAATATAAGCTTAGGAAAAAAAAACTATGCCTAAAAAACCAGGTATTTTTCATTAAATGCAACATTTAACAGTTTTATATTTGTTGATAGCCACATAATTTACTTTACATACAAAAATATAATATTTCATTACAAATCTTTGCCATCTTAACAATAATTTACACATAACTTGATTTACAATTAAAATATTAAAATATTTAAAAATCCAATTTATTTAATATTAATAATTAATATTTAAAAATCCGAAACTTACACAAATTTGAAGGGACTGTTTGTTATCAAAAACATTTTCTTCCCAGCATTTTTCAGTCTGTGCAGAAATGAAGACATCGAAGGATGTTTTTCAAGATACTGATCTAAAATGAAATATAGTCAATTAGCCTATGTCCAAATCAATAAGTTTAATCTGTAAAGAATTTGATTATACTTGGGTTTAGCAAACTTTCCATGCTACACTTTTAAACATAATATACACTGTTGGGCATTAAAATTACAACACCAAGAAGGAATGATCTGACAAATGTCAAAAATTAGAAGAAAGGAAGAAGTTAGGATATGCAAATGATTAGTATTTCAGCACATTTAGATGATGCAGGAGGGAGAAATGACATCTGAAGCACTGCATAAAAGAAAAGTTGTGTAGTGGATTTATCATTTAGAAAGTGCTTTATAATGTTGGAGTTTGCACAGAATATCATGCTATGCCTCAAATAAGAGGAAATGCTTAGCAGCAAGTTTTGAAATTCTATAGAAGTATGATCAAGTCTATCGAATGTGTAGATTATTGTTCCATGATATCCCCGCTAGCACTGGTCAACATCAAATCATTGTCATATGAATATAGAGTCAATGGATTGCTGTGGGTCATACTGAACAGCACGCATGATCTCAACACCCTCCTATGATCAACGCCTGAGTGGACAGACATATTGTGAGGTCAGCCCTGCAAAATCATTTGACTATATCACCGACCATTAGTCAGGAAATGGGCATATTTGCAACACACCCAGTATCAGCCTGTATGGTGCATCGCCGTTTGCAGCAGTGTGGACTATCAGCAGGGTGACCATTACTTTGGTGCACTAAACGACAAAGATGGGTACAGGAGTTGCACAAAATCGCCTTTTCAAACAAATGAGTCCCATTCTACGTGTAGTATTCTGAGAACCATACATGTGTCTGGAGTGTCTGAGGAGACAGCTTGTTGCCTGCTTGCATTCAATATCGACATAGGAGGTCCTTGCACCTGGTGTGATGGTTTGGGCAGCCATTGGGCACCCGACAGACACATCTCTATAGTTCGGAACAACAGTAATTTGAATGCATATGGATATATTTCTAACATCTTATGCCCAATGGTTACATAAAGTAAAAAGATTAAAAAGGGAAAACTGAAATAGGCATCATATTAATAAAATTCGCAATATGGTTAAATCAGCTAAAGAAATACAGAAAAAATAAATTAATGAACAATTTTTTAATTCTTATCATTTTTACACTAATTTTTAATTTTGTAACTATTTGTATGTCAAGCTAATTTTAAACTTAATTTATATAAATTTAAGCATACATACAAATTAATCCATGATTATATCTTCTGTAAAATAACTTATGGAAAATACCCTAAT